CATCACTCACATGAAGGCCGCCAGCGTTTGGACCCGGTCCGACAGAGGATTTTTCATTCGGTTTGAAGTTGTTTTCAGTGTTTTCTTGTTTTCCAGTGATCGAAGGTCAAGTCTGGGGCAGGGGATTGCATTAATAAAACCCTTGTGAGGAGAACGGCTGAAATGACACCTTAACCCCTCGCTGACCAGAGAACATAAAGCACTGCCAAGCAAGGCTCCGTGGGCCACCAGCCTACGAACTGGCCCTCGGCCAAACAGCGCTGTTCTGGAGAAAAGAAGGTCAAGGCTTATAAACGCGCGTGCGTCTGTGAAGGAGCGGAACCTTGGCTCACAGTTCGGAGGTCTGACTTGGACCCCTTGCCAGATGTCGCCCAAGCCGTGTGCAAGGGCTGCAGTGTGCTTCTTCTTCTCTCGGGGAGGATGAGAGTTTCCGAGAGCTCACCGCCTTTCCTGCAGGAGGGCGGGGAGGCTTTCGCCACCTTCGCGCACCGCCATGCTCTTCGGGTTTATTCGCTAATGGATGGGCAGGTCTGGGGCATTCTGACCGCATTCAAAGGCTGAGGAAAGGGCCTGAGTGTCTCACCTAACCCAGCGCCTGGTTAGGGAACCAGCTAGGAGGCGGGGCGGGCGCGGGAGGCTCACTCTTCGGGGCTCATTCCCATGCAGCGCACTTCTGGGTTTGGAAACTCTCGATAAATTATGTGTGTGTGGAACACGCACCCCCAAATTTAACAGCTACTGTCTTGACAGCCTTCAGGCTGAGAATTCATTCTCTGCCAAATGGATAGGTGCTTGGGCAGAGTACTTTTCACCCGTGCACCCCATGGAACCTGAGGGTTCCAGGGCATTTAAGTTTGGAAAAACACATTCCACTCTGCCTTACTCTGGGATTCTAAAGCATCATCGACTGCGAGCTCCTCATTGACTTAACTGCGGTCTGGGAAGAAACAGCTGATTACAAGCACACAGTTTTGTTTTTCTCTGATACGAGCCGACATCCAGCTCTGCAGCTACATCCACCTCTTTCTTCTTTTGTATCTCAGTTACGGTTTGTATCTAATCGTCCTTTGCCTTCAGAGCCTAAAGGTTTTCTGAGTCATTTTTGACCTCTGGCGGTTAAGTTAAATATCATAATGGTAAGTCGCCTTTCGTAAATTTCTCATGATCTCGATCTCTTTTGCAGCTTAAAGAGAAACCAATTTAGAATCCTATAAAGAAATATTAGAGTTTCACGTGATCTTTCTTTAATTAAAATAATTAGTTTCCTTAATTGAATAACAGATCATTGGAAGGTATCAACTTGGCCTACATGTCAGTTGGAAGTTTTGGATAGATGTCTGGAGCCAGCGTGAAGGTTCTTTATGAAGAAGGAATCGTCATTCTAAGAACTTTCCTACCGTCTTCTCACTTTGAAGCTTCTATGCCCCTTTCCTAGATGTCTGGTAATCTCTGTCACCTCTGACGACACTGCCTGGGGTCTGAAAGAAAATTTGCTTATACAATGCTACTTTGCAATAGTCTTTTCTTTTCGAATACGCATTTTGTTTTGAGATAATTTTAGATTTACAGAAAAGCTGTAAAGGTAGTATGGAGGGTTCTCACAAACGCTTCACCAGTTTTCCCTGTTGCTAAGATCTTACATCATTACCAAGGAACATTTGTCAAAACTAAGAAACCAATGCTGGCATATTACTATTAATTAAACTGCAGACTGTATTGGGATTTTTCCTGTGTTTCCAACAATGTCCTCTTTCTGTCCCAGAATCTAATTTAGGGACAATACTGCATTCAGTTGTCATGTCTTATCCTTTGGTCTGTGGTAGTTTCTCAATCCTTCCTTGACAGTTTTAAGCAGCGCTGGCCAAGTATTCTGTACAGTGTATCTGGGTCTTCCTCGTGTGTGTGTGTGTGTGTTTGTGATTAAATGGGGTTTATAGGCTTTTGTAAAAAATGTCAGAGGGGACATGTTAGGCACATGACATTACTGACGATGCTAACTTGACTGCTTGGTCAAAGTGGTGTTTGTTAGGTTTTTCCACTGTAATTAATAATCTTTCTTTTCTTTTAAAAGGCATTTTAAGAGGTAATGAAAGGATCTAAATTAAAATTTAATCTTGGTGGGCTGTTTTAAGAACTCGCCCGAGGGGCCATGAGATGAACAGGTGTCCTGAAGACTATCGCACCCCCTGCATCTCACACGGCGCGGACCACTCAGCCATCTGCACCCTCTGCCAGGTGCCAGGCGGGTTCGTTCACTCTGACCAGGGCCAGGAGGAGGGTAAGGCAAGGGAGGTGCCGGGCACACTCATTCTTGGAGTCCCGCCTCTGTAAGTGTTGCACCCTACACACCTCGCCTGCCTCACCCTAGTCCCAGCCCAGCTTCTGACACCGGTTCTAAGTTTACTCTAAGTTTAGAAACTCTAAGATGTAAAAAGACGTGCTCTTTATCTTAGGATGACGTGCATGGTGAAGGCTCTGGGCCGTCCTGCGGCACCTTACTCCACCCACCGTTTCTCCCATTACCTTGCTCGCGGAGCCCTTCTTTCTCAGACGAGCTGTTCCCTCACCCGTGGGGTTCAGTGATCTGTGGGGAAACGTGCGCCGAGGGGCAGGCAGCAGGCCGGATCTGGGCGCCGGGGTTCTGGACCGGGATCCGCCTTTGGCCCCGGCTGCCTGACCAGGGCTCTGCTTCCTCAGAAAGGAAGGCTCCCCGGAGCCTCCGACATCTTCAGCCACATTTCTGATGCACTTAAATGGATTTTTTGACCTTTCCCACACCCGGGCAGAGCTGTGCTTGCACTTCTGTGAGCTGTGGATGGACGTGCTGACAGGCTTCTGGGAGCGGCCGACCCTTGTCACCACATCAGGGAGTAAACACTGCTGGTCTGGCAGCCAAGCACTCAGACACTGACCCCTGTCGGAATCCCGGCAGAACCGTACAAGTCACTGCAGTGAAGGAGGCCGGGCTGTGGCCAAACCCTGCTCCTGCGCCCCGGACCCCCAGTGAGCTTTCTGTCCTTTACCAGGACTCATACGCGGCCCTCATAGGATGGACCTCTGTCCTCTTTAATGTATCTTTATGTCCTTCAGCATCTTTAACGTTCTCTGAAGTACACCGTGCTGGCAGGCTGGGAAGCTGCAAGTTTAGGAAGCAAATTTCGGTAGACATGCCAGTCACTCTCATTTCAGTTTTGAGAAGCCCGGATGTAGTAATCTTCCAGTTTAGGAGATCGAAGTAAGATGCTGAAGCATCACCATTTCAGCCCATAAGCAGGAGTCCAAAGGGGGAACATCCCAATGTCACTTAGACCCAGGCCCTGTCTTGGCTATTGTCAAGGTCCTTTAAGACATGGGGCTGTGTTTTTTTCCTGCTAAATGACCAGCAGTATTTGGTGGGCAGCATGCGTACACAGGTGGAGAAGGGCCATCCGTCAAATGAACAACTCACATGGGAAGTCTCTGGGGACAAATCCCTCATTATAGGAATGGGGGCCTTTTTGACTATACGGCAAGGTGGACTCAGTTTTCCATCCCATTCCTCTCTGTTCTCCCCCGACCATCGCGATAGGTGGATTCTTGTCAGGCACAGATAGCTCCCTGTCTTCAGCAGTCTGGATCCTCCGCCTGTCATCATGGAGGTGACTTCGTAGCACAGCACCTGAGCCTCCGTGGCCAGGCTTCTTCTTGCCAGAGCCAGGAGCTCCCCACTCCCGCCAGACAGCAGCCATCCTGCAGGGTGCGACCCTCAAAGGAGGTCTCTAAAGCCATTGGGGAAAATTCCTTTGGCAAAAACAAACTCTGGCCAGTCTGGTTAGTTTTCAATACTGCTGTGACCAGGGAACAAGTTCGGGTTAGCTACGGACAAAAGTGGGAGATTTAAGGGAATGAGGTGCGGTGAAGCCGAAGCTTTGATTCGGTCCAGGACAGCCTGGCTTAAGATGGGCTGAGGAGAAAGCGAAGCTGACTCCCCACAAGGCTGGCCTGTATTCCTGGTGCTCCGGCTCGCGCCCCTGGCTTTCCGCCCTTAGAGGGGCCCGGATGGGCCATGTGCACCGCCCTTTGCTGGGGCCCGGATGGGCCCTGCGCACCGCCCTTAGCGGGTCCCGGATGGGCCATGTGCACTCTGGGGCTGGCCACAGCGGCGCCTTTATTTGCAGAGCATCCTGAGAGAGGAGTCTGTGTTTATGAAGGTTAATTCCACACTCAAGTGGAAGCCACCTAAGGCGCCAACGCTCTGAGTCGGCCGGGTGTCCTGCGTTCCATCTGTGGCTGGGCGCCTCGCCGTGGTGCACGTTCCATCAGCGGACTGTCCCAAGCATTTCAAGCTGCTGACAGATGGGAGCCGGCCCTGCTGTGGCACACGTTCTTCGCTTAGTACACGTTCTTATGAGGAAGTGGCGTGCAGAGAGCGTTTGCTCACTCGCGGCCGGGGGAACTGGTGCGTGCTCACATGGATGTCCCAGCTTGGACTTGGAGGTGGCTCCAGTGCTTCCTTTCGGGTCTTTACTGTCACCTGTGTCACCCAACCTTGATGCAGCAAAGCCGTTTAAAGACAAGCGTGCCCCGAGAGAGTCCCTGTGTGCTCTATTTTGAAATACACAACTTTGCTTCAGAAGCCAAGGAACCGGGGCATCAAACAGGGGCCTGTGATCCATCTCAACTCTCCCGAGTGATCGGGCTTTGTGAGAAGTAGGTTTGATTTTTCAAACTATTTAATAACCTGCAATGTGGCACCGTCACTGACCAATGAGAAGAGATGGGAGCCATGGTGATGGAGCAGGGTCCCAGAAGTCCCCCTGCGGGGCACCCACCGTTTTTGGTTCCTAGGCTGTAGGAGCATCCTAGCAGAGGATCCTGAGAAACTGAGAGAGGGCTGGGGCAGTGGCTGTTTACCAGCTGGAAAGAAAGGAGCCAGTAGCTAGCCAGGCGACTTTTCAGCGCTGGGGAGGGGGAGGCGTGGGCGTGCGGGCGTGGGAATGCAGGGAAGCAGTCTGAAGAAAGGAGGCCTCTCTGCCCTTTGCCTTTTCGATCACATCGTGTTAATACTCAGGGGAGCCTGATTCCCTTAAATTGCTGCTGGATCGATAACTTCCAAATAAAGAAGCCCCAAGGAAGAACAAAACTCCTCCCAGAGCTGAGTTCCACATGAACCTGGGGGCTAACAGGCCTCCGAAGGCTCAGACCTGAGACAGTGGAAGGTTCCTGGTCTATCTCTGGTGAATTCAGTGCAATTCTCCAACAGACTGAGATCATCTCTGCCAGGCACCAGCAGCTCAGATTTCTACTCAAAACACATATGCTTGTTTCTGGGGAAAGGCAAGCATGAAATACACTTCATTGAGAAGTTGAAAAGCATGGAGGGTGAGTTAATTTTCAAAGAAGAAAGTCAGCAGCACGGCAGAAAGGAATGCGTGATTCACCTCTGCAGAGCAGACATTGATTTTCCCGCCTGGGAGAATCACAAATTAGTTGGCAGTTGAGAATATGATCTCCGATGTTGTTTTCCATTCCCCTTAGATCTTACATTGTATTTTAGGACCATGAAACAACGCGAGATTAAAAGTCTCATTCGGAAACAGAAGTGGAAAAGAGGATTCAGTATTTCTCTTTCCTCGGAGAAAACACTTTCAAAGGTATTTCATAGCTAAAACACAAGAGTGTCGGTGCGGGAGGGGAAGATGTGTTCTCGCCTGGGCTGTGTGAGAGAGGCAGCCTGTGAGCTGACCGGGGAAGAGAAACCTGCCACCTACACCATCATCAGAAGCAGTACCGTCCTTTTATATTTTGGGGGGTGGGGGGGTGGGGAGGGGTTAAATAGGACAAGCAGTGGGAGAAATCATCCAGCTATGAAATGTTCTGCCACTTACATGCGTGACCCCGGGCAAGACACTCAACTCTCTCAGCCGCAGCTTTTATAGTTCTAAATTGAGGCTAATAATGTCGGCTATCTAGAAAGGTAGATCTAAGTTCAGGTTTTCTGATGCCTGACATGATATAACTTTGCAGGCCTGTAAGGAAAATAAAAAGCAAAGCTGACAAATATGGAACTGAGAACGGGGTTTTGGGAGGGGCTCATGCAGGCGGTGGCCCTATGCTTGAAGCCTCATTAGCTTCATAGTGAATCCACTTGTGCACACCTGTCTATCTCAAATGAGATGAGAGATAAGTATATAAAAGTGCTTTGCAAACTGGAGGCATTATATAAACGTAAGACACTGAATTATTCCACAAACAGGTGATACCTACTGTGCGCCAAACGGCATGCGAGGTGCAGCTGTGAAGACAGACACAGTCCCTCCTCATAAAACCTAAAGTCCAGTGGCACCGCGTCACTGTCTGTGGTGACTCCGGAATGCAGAAGCGAAGCTGACCAGCCGGGATGGGCCTGACTGCTTACTCCCGACAGCAGCCCCTCGGGGCTCTCCAAGGTCCTGATTCCCACGCCAGGCTTTCTGGGTCTGGGTTCTACTCAATCTCGACCTCTGCATTTCCCTCCTTCCAGACCGTTGTCATCGTACTGACTTCCATTTCGAAAACCCCAGAGCAACGAGCCAGCCTTTCTAATCCCTTCTTTTCCAATATGAATGGACAGTGGTTGCTCACTGCAGGGGGGCGGTGGGGATGGGTGAAAAGACGGGGGATAACAGGTGAGGGGCTGTTCTTGTAGGGGGAGATAATGAAAATGCTCTAAAACTGATTGTGGTGATACATGAACGACTCTGTGAATATACTAAAAGCCACTGAATTGTAAACTTTAAATGGGTAAATTCTGTGGTATGTGAATGTATACCACAATAAAATTGTTAAAAAATATGAATGGACAATCAAAAATCATCTAAAATTCAAGAAAAGTTTACAGCAAGGAAAAGATTAGGATAAATAAAATGGGGGGGGGGGGAATGAACTTGAAAGAAACAGAAATCATTCAAAAAATGAAAGAGAATGTTTAAAAAGACCAATTATCCTTAGAAAGATTTGAGAAGAAGTTGTGTCCAAAAAATAAGAATAGGGAGCTATGAAAAGGTAACCATTCAAGAATAAGAAAGTGTTCTTAGAAATTTAAAAAACAAAAATTTGCTGAGATATAAAAATTCTATTAAAAGTTTGGAAGATAAACCAAGAACGACCCTCAGGACATAAAGCGAGACGCCCGAGACGCCGGAAGCACAGCAGTTTAACGTCTCATCATGAAGACTTTCAGAACTAAAGAACAGAGAAAACAGAGAAAATGACATTAAAAAGAGAAAAATGAGGAAAATTTCCCCGGAGATAAAGGAAGACAAGAGCCTTTGTAATGAAAGAGTCCAGCAAGAACAAAAAGTACCTCTGTCCGGACATGTCGACATGAGCTTTCAAAAGACTCAAAGAGCCGCCTGAAAACCTAAGATAAGTGGGTGACCGACAAAGGGACCCAGATCTGACCGGCCTCAGAAATAACAGATCTTACAAGACGGTGTTACAGGCTTTTACAATTGTCATTGAAAATGATTTTGAATTGGGAATTTTATATTCTAAGTTTCCGTCAGCGATGAGAGTACTAAATATCCACCTAATACAGTGGGAAATGAAGGGCGGCTGCCTAAAGTTGATGGAACAAGAAATAAAAATTGTACTACATTATTTGAAGTTTCACAGGTAGGCATTAAAAGAATTAAATAATCATTACTATTTTTTTTTTAACAGAAAGGAAGATGAGGGATAGAGAAAAGAGCTAAATCTTGATTTTTTAGAGTTAGTAGATAATTTTGTTAGTTGATATGTAAGAAACATAAATCTAAAAATATTATTTAGAGGGATAAAAATAACTACTAGAAGTATTGAAAACAGAAATGCTTTTTTAAAAGTTGCTGCTAAGAAGCAGGCCTGAAAGTAGGGAGGGTGTTTTTTCATTTAAAAAATAATATCCGGGTTTTAAAAAAGTTTTAAAATCTAATGAATGGGACTTTTAAATACAGAGCCAAGAAGTGCCAAGGACAGCTCAGCCCGTGACACACGAGTAGCTGCTCCCAAACTGAAACTAACTTCTTCGTTGTTCGTGGCTTTCACAGTTACTTGAGTTTGGGAAATGTTGTCTTATTCTAAATGCCTCTCATTTGGAGATTCAAAATGTGCATTAGTTTACTAAAAGCTCTGAGGAGTTCTGCAGACAAGAAACCAGTATAACTCCATTTGAAAGTAAGTCAGTTCATTGAAAGATCCATTTGACAAATTAATTTTTGATTTGAATAAATTTATCACCATTTTTTTTAGTGGAGATTTATTACTTGGAATGGAAATATTTCCAAAGCTCTGACAGGAAGGTGAAAGTGGCAAAAAATATTAAATGTGCAAAAAGCTAGCGAAACATAAATTAATATAAGGGGATAATTTTCCACATATGAGATCATTTCAGCTGCTTCGGGTTTCTTTTGGATGTTTCTGAATTTTTTTTTTTTTTAATAACTTTGTTCAAAATGTCAATTTTTAAATGTTAAGTTTTTCTTTTCCACGATTCCTCCAGTGGCCTATCAGCCTCAATTTAGGATTTCTAGGAATTAAACATCGAAATTAAATATAAATTCAAAAGCATCCTAAAGATATCAAAATTTAATTTAAATCTAATTCAAATTCTGAACGGATAGAAATACAAAATCAAGGCGAATAAATTAAGAAATGGTGATAAAATATTAAAAGTGCTTAAATTTTTTAAAAAAGAAAAGGACACTTAGAAATCATAAAAAATAAATCAAATATAGCTGAAACAACTGTCACATATGAAATGTGAAACCTTTAGCTAGATTGTATTTCAAGGGAATTTTTCAAATAATGTTAAATTCTGTTTTGCCAGCCTTGCAGAATTTTAAGGATTTTTTTTTTAAAACTGACATCTTAGGAAGCATCTCCATATTACTTAATACTCAGAAAAGCATCTTTCCGTATCAATTATCCAGACTGAATATGTCTGAAAAAGCTACAAAATCACCACTGGTAAATTTGGCATATCGAGCAAACAGATCTTTCATAGAACTGGTGTTCGGTGAACTGATTTTGATGAACTGGCTCTCAGCAATGGACTGCCAGCAAATCGACTTGAAGTCATTTTGCTTTTCTAGCTTTTCCTGAACTTATTCGACCTTCTTCCATATCACAGCCATGGAGCAGCCGCATACACACTAGGGCTAGGACATTCGAGGTTCTATCTAGAAAGAATGGAAGAGTTAACGCTGGTGGGGCAACCCGAAATAATCCACTATAAAATGCCAGAAAAATTCGCCAGCCTATTATTGAATTTCTCATCACAAGTGCAGACTTTTGCACATATCCCTATATAAGTTCACCTGGGTGGTATCGACCAAATGTTTGTAGTTAAGGAGAGCATTTTGAAGTCTGGTTTAGTCGCCCAAAGTATGAGTTACTCCTCTCAGCGTGGCATCCCTTGCAAATTTGATATACATAATATCTATGTATTCATTTCATTAAGCCTTTGATAAAAATGTTGACTTAGAACCCGAAAAAATGGAGCTCTGAGGCATACCATTATGTATTTCCCCCGAAAGGTCTATCAATCTGTTAATGACCACAGTTCAGAAATAGCTGTTTAAAAGGTATAAATGAACCTCACTTGCCCACATTTTTCCATCTGTAGAAAACATACCAGGAGACATTATCGAATACC